TCTATATGCAATCTCTGGGGGAGGTGTCTATACGTTTAGGGCCTAGTACCCTTAATACAGTTTAGCTTTAACTCTTGATATTAGGTCAAACAGAATATGTGGTAGAAATCTTGATCTAGTGCCAGAAAGGTCTGGGTGTAGTGAAACAGATTACAATTAAATCCTAGGAAGACAAGAGTATAGTTTGAACAGAAGCCCTCTAGTTCCATGGAAGTTCTATCTACTGTTCTGCTTTTGGTTGCACTTCCCCAGAAAAAGCTGGGAAGCAGTTTGGGAATTCTCGGCTTGGGAATTCTGGCCTTCCTATAGCAATGTGTTAGATAACCTGGCTTTGAGAGACTGTGGCCGATCTTAGTGAGTCTGCCAAGTGAATCAGTCCCTGGGCTAAAAGGCTCAAGACAATGGTTCATATCTTTTGTCATTTCTAAGATTGCGGCAATTTTTTCTATGTGAACTTGCCCTTTAGGACAGGCTGAAAGCTGCTGCACAGAATTCAGCTATGTGTTTGTTGAGAAGCTACCCTTAGTTCAGCAGAATAACGTCTATTTTATGAGAATTCCTCTGGTTGGTTGCCACTAGGCTTTGGAGCCACTTCAAAGTGTTGAAGACTATAAAGTCCTATATAATCTGGATTCTTGTTATTTTGAGATGGCCTTCTCCAGAGAGAATTCACAGTCTTACATAACTTTCCTAGGGGACAATGCTGTGGATGCACATCAGTGGTGGGTTTCTATCGGTTCACCCTGTTCCCGTGAACCAGTAGCGGTTGTGGCAGGCTCCGCCCACCTGCCTGGACGTCATCACGGACGGTCTCTGCATAGGCAGAAGGTTCTGCGCATGTGCAGAAGCGCTATGTACATGCAAAGCGTGCACATGAATGCACGGTCACAGTTGCGAACCAGTAGCGAAGGTAAGTGGAACCCACCACTGATGCACATCCTAAAGAGATTGTGGAGTGGACACAAACACACACAAAAAAAGACATTAATAATGTCTAGAAACGGTAGCATAGAAATGATTGCTATAAATACATTTAATTAATTAATTCAGGGGGATTGCTTTCTCTCTATTCTATACTTAACAGAATAACAAAATTGGAAGGGACCCTGAGGGTCTTCTAGTCCAACATTCTGCTCAAATAGGAGACCCAATACCAGTGATAGCTAACCTTTTCTGGACCGAGTTGTCAAAGTGTGCGCCCAAACCAAAATGCAATACGCGTGCCCCCTGCATGCACCACTGTGCATGTGCGCATGCCCCCCACATGTGCACGCCCCCTGCACACATGCACAGCAGAGACCCAGAGACCAGCTGACCGTCAGGAGACGTGCGTGCATGCGTGGCGGAGCTGAACTGGGGTGACAGCTTGTGTGTCCACAGAGAGGGTGCTGCATGCCACCTCTGGCACGCATACCATAGGTTCGCCATCACGGCCCTATACTATTTCTGACAAATGGTTGGAAAGTTGCATCAGGGAAAATAAGTTCCGATGTCTTTTACCAGCTAGTTTCTTTTTTGTTCCTCATCAAATATATAGTTTTTACCATTTTCTTCTTGTTCTTTGAGTCTCTTTTAACTCTCTTTTAACTCCTCTATTGAGGCAAAAGGGCATTATGATTTTTCATATTTCATATTCCATTTATATCATAAACACTTTATACCTTGATTTTCCAACTGATACTTCAGTATTGCTAATGTTTTATATGCCCAGAGGGCAGCAACAGAACCAGACCGCGGTGGGTGGGTGGGGTCTCTATCAATGCTTTGTCCTCTAAGCACATAGTGCTTATAAGCAGTATCCTAAGTGACAGGAAGCGAGTTTCCTATAATCTTCTCAGCTGTCCTTACCACTCTCTGTATGCACCTTCTATCTGAGGCACTGCTGCCAGCAAACCAAACAGTGATGCAGTTTATTAAAACACTCTCAATCGTGCCTCTGTAGAAAATGGCCAGGACAGAAGTAGAAAGATGTGCTCTCCTTATCTGACGCAGGAAATGCAAACGCTGGTTTGCACGCTTTACTAAAGATAACGTATGAAGAGGCCAAGTCAGATTGTTAGTTAACTACACCCTCAGATACTTAATATATTGACCACCTCTACAGCTGCAGCCTTGATACTAAGTGGAGTATGACTATGTCAGCTCTTTCTAAAATCAACAATGATCTTTGTTTTATTAACATTCAAAACTAGGTTATTTTTATTGCACCAGTCCACCGAAGCTTTCACCTCCTCCCTATAAGAATCTTCATTGTCATCCTGGATAAGATCTATCACTGCTATGTCATCCGCATACTTCACAATATGATTCCTAGCAGACTTGGCACAGCAGTCATGGGTCATCGAGGTGAACAGTAACAGACTCAAAACACACCCCTGTGGGGAACCCGTACTCAAGGAGATGGAATTGGAAACTTTTCTTCGAACCTGCATAAACTTATCTTCATAAATGACTTAGATGTGGGAATAGGAGAACTCATCAAATTTGCAGATGACAGTAAACTGGCAGGAATAGCCAGCACCCCAGAAATCAAGCTCAGGATCCAAATGGATCAATAATCCCTATCCAACAACGTGAAATTTAATGTGGAGAAAAGTAAGGTTTTACACCAACATAGGAAAAACCAAAAGTACAAGTACAGATTAGGCGAAACCTAGCTCAAAAACAGTAACTGTGAGAGATAACATGGAGTCCTAATGGATGATCACTTAAACAGGAGCCATCCATATGCGGCAGCAGCCAAAAAATGTTAATACAATCCTTGGTTGTATAAACAGAGACATAGAATCTAAATCACGGGAAATATTAGTACCGCTTTATAAATCCTGAGTAAGACCACATCTGGAGTACTGCATCCAACTTTGAATTACAAAAAAGATATTGAGACTTTGGAAAAAATGCAAAGAACTAAGACGATTAAAGGCCTGGAGACAAAAACATCTGAAGAACGGTTGCAAGAATTGGGTTTGGCTAGGCTAGAAAAAATAAGGATTAGGGGATGGCATGATAGCAGTATTCCAGTATTTGAGGGGCTGCCACAAAGAAGGGGGGGGCAATTTATTTTCCAAACCACCAGCAGGCAAGCTAAAAAACAATGGATTGAAACTAATCAAGGAGAAAAGCAACTTGGAATTAAGGAGAAACTTCCTAACAGTGAGAACAATTGGAATAGCTTGCCTTCAGAAGTTGTAGGTGCTTCATCACTGGAGGTTCTCATGAAAAGACTGGACAGCCACCTGTCTGAAATGGTATAGAGCAGGGGTGTCAAACTCAATTTCATTGAGGGCCACATCAGGGTTGTGTTTGACCTCGGCGGGGCATGGCCAGGCTGGGCATGGCCAGCTCAAAGTCACTCGTGTCAGGGCAGTGGTGGGATTCAGCTGGTTCACACCGGTTCACCAGAACTGGTAGCTAACCACACCCGGCCACACCCCTTGCCCCTCCCAGCCACTCGCCTCGGATGAGGCTGATATGTAATGCCTTTTCTCTTGCTGCGCGGCCCTCCCAATCAGCAGAGGCTCCCTAAATGAAAAAGCTGGCCGGGGTCAGTCCTAGCCTTGCTATCCATCGCAGCTAGGAATCTCAAATAATAGAATGAATGCTTGTGTTGCAGCCAATCTGGGCACTAGCTAGGCAGGCGGCCTGCAAACTCTGTGGTTTGCAGGCCGCCTGGCCGAAGTTTCACTCGCTGAGGCACCAGGACTCCTTATAACGGGATGGGGTCCTTTGAGCACTTAGTTTGGCTACCTACCTACCTTCCTCCGCCTCAGCGAGTGGCGCACAAAAGTTCGGCCGGGCTCCTCGAGAGACAGGGTTTGCAGGAGGCTGATCTAGGGGCTGGTTGTAGCACAAACATTCATTCTGGGCTTTGAGATTCCTAACTGCAATGGGCAGCAAAGCTAGGTTCATCCCTTTGATTCAGCAGCTGGAAAAGGGGGTGGAGAGAAACAGTCCCATTGCCAAGGTACGTGTGGGTCGGAGGGGGGAAGAAATTCAAACTTCAGCCTCCTGGTGCGGCGTGGGGCTTTGGGAAAATGTTGGAGGGAAGGGCCTCTGGCTCGCTTGTGCTCCCTCCCTCCCTCCCCAGTCTAGGTTGACGTAGGTAGAAGCTCACATTGCCCTTTCCAAGCCTGCTGTCAGTGAAGCTGGGTGCTGGTGAGGGCTGGCTTTTTGCTTAGCTTTGTCTGACTGTGGGGGGGGGGAATGGACAGGGGCCTGGGGAGGAAGCTAATAAATACTGTATGGTCATCTGAAGAATGGCAACTGGTGAGTATTCTTCTCAGGTAACTGTTTAATAACTCACATCGTAACTGACAACGTGCATAACTGAGGTAAGGAAAAAAAGGCCGCGAACTCTGTTTGACAGCTCTTATATATGCAGCTGTCAAACGGCTAACCAATCCATGAACAGAACGTTTCATCAACGGCCCCTAGGGGGCCTGCTCTAGGAGCAGACTCAATACATTACACCCCTTTCCTCTTGGACTGCACATGCGTAGTCCTGCAGTCCTGGTCGCTGTCGTATGCGGCCCAACCGCCGGGGGCTCTTGCTCTGCAATGACTCCAGCTGATCCGGAATGTTGTTTTCTTTCGGGCATTGCTCAGCTGGCTCCTGCGCGGACTTCCCACCTGAACTTGGATCCACGATGACTTCGTTAGGTAAGTTCACCAGTTCCTTTTCATTAACCCAGCAATTTTCCCCCACCCCTGGACATATATTTTCTCGTAAACTCGTTTCCAACGCCAACTCATCACCCTCTGGAACATGGACTGGCACAGACCACCTGGCCCTTAATTGGTTGCTGTGGCGGCGCCACACGTGGCCGTGTCCCAAATCTACCCTGTATGAGCAGGGTCCCGTGACATTTGCTATGGTACCTGGCAACCATAAAGGTTGACCTCCATAGTTTACAGCGTCCCCTACCTTGAACGCCTGATGCATTTTAGTAGAGTCTAGTGGAGTGCTAGGGGCATATTGGGGGTGGAGCCTGTCCAAGGTGGTCCTTAAACGGCGGCCCATAAGGAGTTCTGCCGGGCTTCGATTCGTTGATTGGCACGGGGTGGTGTGTTGTACCAGCAAATACTCTGCAATTCGCTCATGCCAGTCCCTGGACCCCATCCTTCCTAACACCTCTTTGGCAGATCTTACAGCTCGTTCCGCAAAACCATTACTCGAAGGATGGAACGGGGAGATCAGGCAATGTCGGATACCCAAGCTCGCTAAAAACACTTTGAATGTGGAGGATGTTACTTGGGGTCCATTATCCAATACCAGCAGATCAGGTAGGCCATGAGTGGTGAATACCCTGCGGAGTGCCCTGATCAATGCGTCCGAAGTGGTGGAGTGCATCAGTACAACCTCCACCCACTTCGAGTAGGCATCTGCTAATATGAGGAATATCTGACCATGGAATGGTCCTGCAAAATCAATATGAAGGCAGGACCATGGTCCCTGTGGGTCTTCCCAAATTTGGGCCTTTTCTCTAGGGGGCATAGGCCGTGGTTCCTGACACACACTACAGGTGGCCACCCACTCCGTGATGCAACTATCCTGGCTAGGCCACCACAGATAACTCCTCCCCAGGGTCTTCATACCCATTATCCCGGAATGGATTGCATGCAGGGTTTCGAGGACTGAGTTTCTCAATGATGAGGAAATTACTACCCGGTGCCCCACAATAAGCAACCACCTTAGGTCGACAACTCCAGTTTCCTCAAACATAAGGTTGCAACGCAGGCCGTACACAACCCCTAGTCACCCAGTCAATGATCTGTGAAATGTCAGGGTCTCTTGCAGAGGCCCGAGCAATGTCTATGGCAATCAACGGAAATGGTGAACTGTCAATTAAGCATACAGATGAGACCGGAGCCAGGTTGCACAGCAGTGTAGGTAGGGGGCAACGGCTGAGAGCATCCGCATGAGCCAAATTCTTTCCTGGAACATGGAGCAATGTGTAGGTATAGGCGGATAGGAACACGGACCATCTAGTCATCCTGGGTGACATAATTTGCAGAGTTTGCTGGTCCCCCACCAAAAGTCCAAGCAATGGCTTGTGATCTGTTATGAGGAAAAAATGGCGGCCGTAGAGATAATCATGAATTTTTTTCACACCTGCTACTAGGGCTAAGGCCTCCTTGTCCAATTGAGAGTAGTTTCTCTCAGCTGGTGCCAAGGTCTGGGAGAAGAATGCCACTGGGGCCTCGGACCCATTCGGAAACTTATGGCTCAAAACAGCGCCCACCCCAAATGGTGAGGCGTCGCATGCTAAGACCAGAGGCATGTTATCACAATATTGTGCGAGCACGGAATTTGATGTCAAAAGGCGTTTAACAGTGGAGAATGCAGCAGCTGCCATGGCAGTCCATACCCAAGGCGCCCCGCGGTCCAGGAGCCTGTGCAGAGGCTCAGCGAAGGACGCTTTGTGGGGAAGGAAGACGGCATAGAAATTGAGGAGGCCCAGGAAAGCGTGGAGTTCTGCCTTGCTTGTAGGAGTGGGTGCTTCTAGTATCGCCTTGGTTTTCGCTGCCATGGGGTGGATGCCATTTTTATCTATTAAAAATCCCAGAAATTCAACTTTGGGATCAGCGATGTAACATTTGGATTTTTTGACTTTGAGTCCAACAGTCTGGAATTGGCAGAGTACTATTCGTAGCCTGTCCATCAGTTCGGATATGCTGGTTGCTGAGACCAGCACATCGTCAAAATACGGAACGACCCCGGGAATTCCATGGAGCAATCGTTCCATCAAACTCTGGAAAATTCCCGGGGCCACACTGACACCGAATTGCAGGCGGTGACATCTAAATGCCCCACGATGGGTGACAATCATCTGAGCCTCTGCTGTTTGGGTATCCACAGGCAACTGTTGATAAGCCTGGGCTAAATCTAGTTTGGCAAAGACAGATCCATTTCCTAGTGAGTGCAGCAGGTGCTGCATCCCCGGATCAGGGTATGCATGGGTTGTTAACTCCTGATTAATGGTGGCCCGGTAATCCGCGCAGATACGGATAGACCCGTCCGCCTTCATAGCTGTTACGATAGGCGTCTCCCATCGGGCGTGGTCTACTGGTTCCAAAATGCCCTGCTCTATTAGCTTGTCGAGTTCAGCATCAACCCGGGGCCACAATGCAAAGGGCACTCTGCGGGCTTAAGTCTTTTAAGTTGCACCTGGGGGTCCAGGCTAAAAGACACTGGAGTGCCCCTATATTTGCCCAATTTGCCATCAAAAACTGAAGGAAATTCGTTACACAGCATCTCTAAGTCTGATGATCGTATTGCATTGACCCCATGAATTGTTAACCCAAGGGCATCAAACCAATTAAGGCCCAAGAGACTGGGCAAAGGACCGTCCACGATTACTAAAGGCAACTGGCCACTGAAATTCTTGAAACTGACCCTGAAATTCCCAGTACCAACAATGGGAATTGGAGTACCCTGGTAATCCTTTAAGAGGAGGTTACAAGGATCAAGCCCCTTTTTTGACAGCCTGGGCACTAGTTGCTTAATGGTGCTCCAGGATACTAGGGATGACGCTGATCTAGTATCCACCTCCATTTGACATAATTTGCCTTCAAGATGGATATTGAGGTGAATTTTTTGCCTCATTAATTTGCTGGTGTGTCCCACCATATGGACATCCGACCCTCGGTAATCTTGGAACCGATTCTTCTGTTGCGTTGGCGGCTGCCTTCCCCCACTGCTATGCTGAGAATATGATGCCGGTTGTGGTTGTGCCAACCGGCACACTCTCTCAATGTGGCCCTGATGCCTGCAACGATGGCAAACTGCATCTCTAAATTTACAAGAGGCCCTTTGATGTTTTCCCCCACAGCTTAAACATTCAGTTCGGTAACTCGCCGCCTTCTGCAGTCTCGATGATTTACTACTGGCTTCGCTTAGGCGACATACACTGGCTTCATCCTCAGCCTCTGAATCAGGAAACTCGATCTCATTCACGGCGGCAGACTCCCCCGCCTTAGGTGGGTTGCGCCCCTGGGGCAATTCGGCTATAGAGAGCGCAGCCAATTCAGTGGCACATGCCTCATCCAGTGCCGCTTGGAATGTCAGCTCGTGGTTGGCTATCAGACGTTTCTTAAGCTCTTGGTCCCTAACACCAGCCATGAGCTTGTCAAGAAGGTAATCCTCGAGATTTACGAATTTGCAGTGCCGCGCCACTCGTCTCAGGGCTGCAACATACTGATTTATAGTCTCGCCAGGGCCCTGGTCTCGATGATAAAAGTGCTGGCGGCGGGCAATTCTCAAGGGGGCTGGGGCGTAATGCTTCTTAAGCTTTTTAATGAACTCCTCCCAAGTCCCGGAGTGGATCAATTCTGGTGCCATCAACGTCATGGCCGTGTCAAACATTTCGGTACCACAGAAGCTTAAAATATATGCCCTTTTGCGCTCACTAGACAAGTTTGTATAATCATGAGCAATAAGGAAACAGTCAAATCGGGCCATATAAGTGTCCCACGTTTTGGTCGCGGGGTTAAACGGGGGGAAACTCTGGGGATGCCATCTCCAGCCGCCTCAAACGTGCCTGCTTCTGCTGGCAACCGCTCTTAAGTCCTTATTATTATATCGTATCTCCTCAGATCGGCGATCCCACCTTCGTCGCCACTAATAAATACTGTATGGTCATCTGAAGAATGGCAACTGGCGAGTATTCTTCTCAGGTAACTGTTTAATAGCTCAAATCATAACTGACAACACGCATAACTGAGGTAAGGAAAAAAAGGACTGAACTCTGTTTGACAGCTTTTATATATGCAGCTGTCAAACTGCTAACCAATCCGTGAACAGAACGTTTCATTAATGGCCCCTAGGGGGTTTGCTCTAGGAGCAGACTCAATACATTACAGAAGCCATGCCCCCCCGACAGCTGGACAAAGTTAGGTAAAAAGCCAGCTTCTCCGACAGCAGGCTTGCAAAAGGCAATCAAGCTAGAGTGGGGAGGGGGAACACAAGCGAGCACTGAGGAGACTGTGGGAGGAGGGAAGCCAGGCAAAGGGCGAGCGAGGGCATCCGCAGCATGCTGTAGCACATGCACTTTCCCTCAGCCCCCTTCTTTCGGAGAACTCCGATCGGCTCCTCCGCCTCTTCTCTCACCCCATTAGCCAGCCTGCCAGCAGGAGGTGAATTGGTGGGCTTTATTGCGTTCCAGGATTTCCCACCTGAATGGCACGCCACATTTGCAATGGGGGGAGGTGTTTGGGGAAGGCAGTGGGGAATTTTCTAAGCCTAAAGCAGAGAGGGAAGGAGGGTGGGGGGAGAGATATCCAATCCAACTTCCAATTTTTTAGCCAGCATAGCTGGCTGGAGAATTCTGGGAGTCGAAGTCTACAAGTCTTAAAGCTGCCAAGTTTGAAGACCTCTGTTCTAGTCCAAACCCCCTGTTCATGCAGGAAAACTGAGGATTCCAAATCTGAGTGGAGGACCTGGGAAAAGTGTCAGAATAATACTTAGAAGGGACCTTGGAGGGGACCCTATACCATTTCAGAGAAATGGCTGTCCAGTCTCTTCTTGAAAACCTCCAGCGTTGGAGCGCCCAGAACTTCTGAAAACAAGCAGTTCCATTGGTTAATTGTTCTCAGTGTCAGGAAATTTCTCCTTAGTTTTAGGTTGCTTCTCTCTTTGTTCAGTTTCTATCCATTGCTTCCTGTTTTGGCTTCTGCTAAAATGTATTTGGGAAATACATTGCCTCCCTTCTTTCTGGCAGCCCCTTAAAAGCCTGTTGCCTATCACACTCTTGGACAAAGCATGTGAGCCATTTGCTCCTTTCAGTGGTCCATGAAAGTACATCTATAGTATGTAGATGCAGATAATAAAGTCGAAAAAAGTGAACATTTTACAGAACTATAGATACGTTGAGGCTGGGGGTGACAAGGAGTGACTGAAAGGGGAGGGGCTGGGCAAAGCACTCCTTGACATGAGTGATGTCGAGTTGGCCACGCCCACCCAGTCACATGACCACCTGGCCACGCCCACCCAGTCACAGGATCACCAAGCCATGCCCACCAAGCCTCACCTACCAAGCCACGCCCACAGAACTGGTTGTTAAAAAGTTTGAATCCCACCACTGTGTCAGGGGCCCTTGTGGTGGCCTGAGTGCTTTCGGTCATCCTGAGCTCTGTTTTCGCTGGCAAAACGAGGGTTGCAGGAGGCCATTGCAGCCAAAAACAGAGCTCAGGAGGGCTGTGCGTAGCCCTCCCGAGCTCCATTTTCACTGGCAGAGGCACTGTGGGCTGGTCCTTCACTGTTTCCAAGGCAGCCCTGTGGGCCAGATCTAAGCACCCCAGGGGCCTTGAGTTTGACACCCCTGGTATAAAGTCTCCTGCTTGATCAAGGGGTTGAAGTAGGAGACCTCCAAGTTCCTTTCCATCTCTATTCTGATTGATTGGATTTGTCACTGCAATGAAGTGGGAAAATGGCCGTAAGAAGGCTTGAGATGGTCTGCCACACAATTATTTTAAAAAAAGTTCCTTCTAGAGAGTTTTTCTACAATTGACTTGATAGGAATTTTCTGAAAACTTTGCCCTCTTCTAAGACTTGTCTTAAATGCCAGAACTGATTGAAAATATTTTGCTTACTCTACATGAAGGATATGATCATATCCATCTCCACTCTGTGGCTACAATTAGAGATCAACTGCTCAGGAAGTTGAATTTACTTGGGAGAAGATTAGATCCTTCACTATATTTGAATTTATAATGGGAACATAGGAGACGATCTAGCACACAATCTAACAACTTGCTGTTACTTTGCTTCAGAACCTGGCATGATTTATGGCCTGAAAGAAAAATGCTGCAAAGTGTCCCACGAACAAGGTGGTCCAGGCTGGCTGTGTGTCTGCCTGCCTACAAGTGTTCTCTTGTATTTTGGGAGAACATAAACCAAGGCATTCAGCATCATGCAAATATTGCCGCTTAAGTGCCAGCTATGGGGAATGGCAACGTTCCAAGAAACTTTCAGGTGAGAGAGCCAGAAGAGAACTCCTGGAGATGTTACTTTGCCTTCTTCTACCTCAGGATTTCCCTTTTCCAATTATGGTACAATGTATATGTAGATCAAAGAATAGTTTTGGCAGTGTGGAGGAGGGCTTTCCCTCACCACTGAATAACTATTGGAGTCCCTGGTGCTCTCTGAGCTTGGCTTTTGCTTGCAGACGTTCCATCATCCCAAAAGATAACATATCACTGTACCCCAATCAAGTTCATAAGCCTTCAAGGACTTCTCAGTTCAATTCGGAGTTACATATATTCTCTTCTAGTGAATAACTATTGTCAGCTGACATAAAAGAGCTAAGAAGAACTTCCAGTAGGCAGAGCTGTGACCCTTGTATCTGTAGAAGTTTCAGCCCCATCAATGTGGTGCTGAGTGAGGAGGTGCCTGCTCTGGCCTTCTTTTTCTACAGCACTAGGGAGGTTCAACACCACTTTTGGTCTTAGCCTTTCCTCTTCAAGACATGTTCCCTTTCAATTGTACTCTTTTAAAGCCTGGGTGAAGATCCCCCTCCCCAGGGGTGAAATGCTCCCGGTTCGGACTGGATCACCTGATCCGGTAGCAATGGGGGGGCAGGTGGTTCGGAGAACCGGTAGCAAAAATCCCTGCTCCCCCCCCCTACCCAGCTGAGCTGCACAATCATCAGAGGCTTTTTTTTTTTTTTACTTTTACAAGCATTTTTTCTACAACCTCTTCGGCCGAAAAAATGGTTTTAAAAGTAAAAAAAAAAAAAAACATTGGCCACGCCCACCCAGTCACATTACTCCCCCACCAAGCCAAGCCCACAGAACCGGTAGTAACAAATTTTAGATTTCACCACTGCCCCTCCCCGTTGGATTTTTGTGACTTTGTGGAAAGAAAGAGAAACCCTTGCAGTCTGGGCCTGGTGTAGGACGAATCCAGGCCTGCTCTGGCTTCTGGTGGCAGGAGCAGCCAAACTGGCTCTGTGGTTTGCTATCTCTGCTTTTTGGCCTGGAGTGCTCATTCAGCCAAAGAAGGGACAGAGGCACAGCAGCACAATGGTTGTGAGCAACTCAATGGCATTTTTATCTTCTGGCAGGGCCTGGCAAACAGGAGTGCAGCTCTTTTCGCTTTCCCAGAGCGACCAGCCTTATGTGTTTTAAACTGCATATAACTTAAAAAATCTAAACGATCAGGGAATGATGTGTCACTTGAATTGCAGCTGTTAATGACCATAGAAATCTTGGCAGGAAATATTTGAAAAATACAGCAACGATTTGTATTCTAACTAGTGCAGGAAAGTAATAGACATTAATATCCTACTCAAAGCAATATCTTAGAATAATAGATCACAAGGTTTTTTTTAAAAAAAAACTTAAAATTACATTTGCTCATTAAATATTAATTTGCTGGATTATTTAGTCTAGCAATTAATAGTACTTTATTCCTGTGGCATACAGAGGAAATACCTTACTTTAGTAATAATTTTAATTAAGAGCACAACTGAGTGATTGGAGCAGCAAAGGAAAAAGGGGAGTCATGAAGACCAATCTATCTTGCTTGTTCAAACAGGATAATGGGTAACCCCATTGACTGATGAATGGGCCCAGGAAATAAGCAATCAAGATCTTGCACATACTGTATTTCAGATAATCACAAAGTTTGTAAACAAAAATATCAGGGCGATAGAGATTTGAGACAGGAAAGCAGGTATCACTTTAATCATGAAACAGCTGAATTGGATTTCATAAGAAAATGTAGCACTGTTTTTCATAGATTAAATAGCGAATAGTATATCTTATTAAAAGCACACAGAGACACTATATTTAGTACAAGAATATTTGTTACATGTAACATCTTTCTTGTGAATGTCCCATTTATATAGGCATTTATCACTTATTTGGAATGTATATTTTATTCTTCTCTTCCCTGCAAACTATGTGAAATTGCATGTATATAATAGGATATTTTATAGGCCTGATGAAATGAGCTATAATTCAGACAAGCGGACTGCTATACTGTATATATATTTATTATGCATTAATGTAGCACAACAGTATTGCAGAGGGATAAAGCAAATTGTCAAAATTCCTAACAAAACACAAAAAACAGTGTTCGAGTTTCATGTCTTGAAAAACATTAAAAGAATCACTATGTAAAATATTAAAAGAATAATTACCCTACTTTTCAGAGTATAAGACGCACTCCCCCGCCCCAAAAAGAGGTGCATCTTATACACTGAATACAGCCATTTTTGGCCTCCCAAACCCGCTACGCTTCGCGTTTTTTGCAAAACACGCAGAGGGTTTGGGAGACGTGAAGAATGCTCCTGAGGGCCAGGGAGGGCAAAAACCAGACGCGCAGAGGCCACGAACTTTTTTTTTTCTTGTTTTCCTCTTCGAAATCTTGGTGTGTTTTATAGTCTGAAAAATACTGTATACAAATTACATGTAGCCTTTTGGTTTCAGATAGGAAAGCAGAAATAATTGGCATGATTTATAATTTGCTGCCTCCTGCAGGTGATTTTAGAAAACAACAATTCTTCTACATTCCAGACATAACTTGCATGTATTTGACATTTTACTCTACTACAACAGTTTTAAGGATTCAGGAAGGAGGATAATTAAAAATCAATTTTAAAAAGAAAATTAGTTTAAAACTACTAATTAAACAAATGAATTGCCTCTATTTCAAAACATAAGGATCAAAGAAATGAATCCACCCCACTGCTTATATATTTGATGTATCAATAGAAGACAGAAAATACTTGAAGATTCTAAATTGTTTTTGTAATTATACAAAATACAGTTGGATCATTTCCAGTTTACAATCTGGCATGTTGATCTTCAATCATATTCTGCCTAAGATGTGTTTGATGGAAAAGATCAATGGGTAGTGTAATATAGAGCATGTATTTTATGCACATCCATCTTACAATACAAATTACAATACTTTCAGATTTACCATTTGAAGTATGCACAGGAAGAATGCACAATTCCCTGCATGCATGGAATTGAATTGAATCAGACATATGTATGAAATAGAACAAATGTGTGAAACCTTGAAAAAAATGCCCCTCTTTAGAAAATTGCTTTAGATGTTGTAATATGTCCTGTGTTCCAATAGAACAAAACTACAACAAGCTTGACTATTTTCCTCTTAGAAAGCAGTGAAAATTAAAAAAACAAACAAAAAACAGTTTGTTTTTTACATTATGGCCATAAAGTTAGCTAAGGTAGCAATCCTTGATGAATGCCATCTATCACTCAGCCTAAAAATTTGCGACATGGGTAATTTTTTATTAAAAAAATTCCCATACCAAACAATTAAAACAAGATCTAAGAGCATCTTTTATGGTTTAATTTGCCTGTATAAGCAGTCATAGAAGTGAGCCCAGCAAAGAACAAGCAACCCTGAGAGCTAAATTGGTGTAATAGTTAAGATGCTGGTCTAGCAATAAGAAGGCTGTGAGTTCTAGTCCCACCTTAGTCATGAAAGCTAGCTGCATGAATTTGGGCTAGTCACTCTCTTGCCTTCCAATCTATTCACAGGGCTGCTGTTATGCGGAATATAGAAGGAGAAGGGTTTATTATGTAGGGTTTGCCACCTTGAGTTACTTATAGGTAGTCCTCAACTTACGACTATAGTTGGAACCACAATTTCTGGTGCTAAACAAGGCAGTTGTTAAATGAGTTGCACCCGATTTTAAAACTTTTGCCATGGTTGTTAACCAAATCATTGCAGTTGTTGAGTAATCATGGGGTTGTTAAGCCAATTCAGCCTCCCCCATTGACTTTGCTTGTGGGAAGCAGACTTGGAACTTTGTAAATTGTGATCACCAGACCCCAAGACATTGCAGCTTTTGTAAATACATGCCAGTGGCCAACATCTGAATTTTGATCATGTGACCATAGGGATGCTAAAACAGTTGTAAGTGTGAGACTAGTTGTAAGTCACTTTTTTCAATGCTCTGTAATTCTGGTTGGTTGCTAAATGAATGGTTCTAAATTGAGGATTATCTGTATAAAGTAATAGAGGCATAAAGTAATAATGGCAGGATAAAAATCTAACAAATAAATAACACCAATGGATTGTTCCATGTCAACACAATCCATGTTGATTGTGTCGACACCATGAACAATTACTACAACAGCAAAACTAGTATCTCCAACTAAGAAGAAGAACCAACAAAGAAGCAAATTTATTTCTTTATCAATGTGAAGTTCAACTGCACAGCAATGTCATTAATACATATGCATTAAAAAGCACAATTTCCACTTGACAAATTAGCTGCAAAGCTCAACAAAGCAACGTAACTTCACCATTTGCAATCTGAAAGTTCAACAGTGTAATACCTATAATGCAAGTCATTTCATTCTCGTAGTGCAGTGCATACACTTTAACACTTAAACTTGTAACTTTCACATAGTAAAACAAATACATTCACTTAAGCGGCAAGCAACAACCTTTTGTCTACAACTGTTTACAGTATAATGCTTTTTAGTATTTAAAATGTAGTTTGGTTGTCGTTGACTTCTTCCCTTCATTAGTTCAAGTCAATGTCCGTGAGATTGGAATCCTGCCTGTTCTTCTTTTGCTTAATGAATCTCCAAGGAAAAATTGAAAAGAAAGGAATCATAGGAAGTTAGAATAATCAAAACAATATGAAATGAAATGTACCATTTGGTCGTAAGATCTGGACAAACACAAAATACTTTGTTTTAAGTTTGGCATTAAATTCCAGAACATTGAATGTTTTCCTCAGAAGTCTTTGCATACCCCTAAACCAAATTTCCTTATTCTATCTAGAGAAAGAAAACCTTCTATTGTGGATGTCAGTGATGATGCTTCTGCAGCAGTTGATTCAGAAAGCAGGATTGCCAAAAGTCTCGGTGGAATGTAAAGATATGCTGAACAATGATATAACACCATTAGAATTATTGGAGGCAACCAAAAAACAAAAAAATAATAAAACACCAGGCCCTGATGGATTGCCGTCAGAAATTTTCAAAAACCACCAAGAGATATTAAGTCCCATATTGTTAGAGATATATAACGAAGTTTTGAATGAAGCAAAGATCCCAGCCTCGTGGATGGAAGCAACAACTACATTGGTTCCCAAGGAAAATGCTGATTTGGCTTTTATTAAAAATTATAGGCCAATATCACTATTGAATTCAGACTATAAAATATTTATGACAATTATGGCTGAAAGAAATTCCTGGAGAACTTTATCCATACTGATCAAAATGGCTTCTTGCCCAGAAGGTATATAAGGAATAATATTAGGACTATACTTGACATTATAGAATATTATGTGATACATAATGAAAAGCAGATGGTATTAATATTTGCTGATGCGCAGAAAGCCTTTGATAACATCAAATGGAAATTTATATTAAACCAATTAAGTTATATGGAATTTGGGGAAAAATTTATAGGTGCAGAGCAATTTATGCCAAACGAGGCTAAAGTTGTAATTAAAGAATTTTCAAATCCAAAAAGGTACAAGACAAGGTTGTCCACTATCGCCGCTATTGTTTATATTATTATTAGAGATCTTGACCAGAATAATACGAGAGGACAAACAAATTAGAGGCTTAAAAATTAGGAAAGAAACTTTCAAGGTACAGGCTTTCACGGATGACCTTGTCTTTATTATTGAAGAGCCCATGCAATCTGGTGTAAGGCTGATGGAAGTACTGGAAGAATATGGGGAAGTAGCAGGCCTAAAGATAAATAAAGACAAAATGAAAATGTTAGTTAAAAATATGACCAAAGTGCAAAAAAAAGAATTGGAAGAGAAAATAAACATTCAGATAAAAAAAAAAAGTAGATACCTAGGAATTCAATTGACCTCAAGATGCTTTACACTTAAAGGAGACAATTATGATAAATTAATTGAACAAATTAAAATCGATTTAGAAAGGTGGGAAAAGTTACAGCTCTCCTTCATGGAGAGGATTGCCACTATTAAGATAAATGTTTTACCTAAAGTATTATACTATTCCAATGTATACCAATTTGGCTAAAAAAGGAATTCTTTATAAATTTGAACAGAATGATATCAAAATTTATTTGGCAGGGCAAAAAAACCTAGAATTAAAATAAAATTATTACAGGATGCCAAAGAATGAGGGGGATTCAGCCTTCCAAATTGGGAAAAATATTACCAAGCAGCAACCTTGGTGTGGGTAAGTGATTGCATACATCTCAAAAATAGAAGACTGCTGACCCTGGAAGGCCACGATTTACAAATAGGATGGCACGCTATTCTCTGGGAGGAGAAGTGTAAAGTTCACCAGTACTTCCAGAGGCAGTACATCAGACAGGCACTCTTGGACACTTGGATTAAGGCTAAAAGGTAATTATATGGAAGTTCCTAACTGGATATCAACATTAGAGATGCTTACACATCCAAATTGTATTAAATTAGGAGAGATTGTCACATATAAAGATGTGTTAAATGATAAGAGATTTGAAGTCTAGGAATAACTTAAAAGAAGAAGGAATTGAACTATAATAATAATAATAATAATAATAATAATAATAATAATAATAATAATAATAATAATAATTTTATTTCTATACCGCCCTTCTCCCGAAGGACTCAGGGCGGTGTACAGCCTATTTAAAAACACAGACAAAACAGCAATGTAAAATTTAAAATAATTAAATAAATTGGCTCAGATTTAAAACCCCAAAAAATTTAAATACCCCAATTTAAAACTATTATGTTGATAGTCCGGCCTGGCGGAACAACAGGGTCTTCAGTGCGCAGCGAAACACCCGGAGGTCGGAGATCTTACGAATTTCCGGGGGCAGTTCATTCCACAGGGCTGGGGCTCCCACAGAGAAGGCCCTCCCCCTGGGTGTCGCCAGCCGACATAACTTGGCCGATGGCACCCGGAGGAGACCCTCTCTGTGGGAGCGAACTGGTCGGTGGGAGGCTATTGGTGGCAGAAGACGGTCTCGGAGGTACCCGGGTCCTATGCCATGGAGCATTTTAAAGGTGGTAACCAACACCTTGAATCGCACCCGGAAGACCACTGGGAGCCAGTGCAGCTCGCGCAGGAGGGGTGTCACGTGGGCACAACGGGTTGCGCCCATAACCACCTGCACGGCCGCATTCTGGATCAGTTGGAGCCTCCGAGTGCTCTTCAAGGGGAGTCCCATGTAGAGAGCATTACAATAGTCCAACCGGGAAGTAACAAGGGCATGAGTGACCGTGCGCAGGGCGTTCCGATCCAGAAAGGGCTGTAACTGGCGAATCAGGCGAACCTGATAAAAGGCCCCCCTGGCCACGGCCGTCATATGCTCTTCTAAAGACAGCCGCGCATCCAGGAGGACACCCAGATTGCAAGCTCTCTCCGTGGGGGGCAAAGATTCACCCCCAATAGTCAGCGATGGCACCTGCTGACTATATCGGGGCGCCGGAAGCCACAGCCACTCAGTCTTGGAGGGGTTGAGTCTGAGCCTGTTCCTCCCCATCCAGACCCGCACGGCCTCCAGGCAGCGAGACATCACATCAAGGGCATCGTTGGGGTGGTCTGGGGTGGAGATGTACAGCTGAGTATCATCAGCGTACAGATGGCACTTCACCCCAAAACCACGGATGATCTCACCCAGTGGCTTCACATAAATGTTGAACAGGTGGGCTTATCTACAAATACAATCTAAATATATGAAGAACAAGAAGGAATGGGGTATAAAACCAGAATCAACAGAACTGGATAAAATTTTACTAAATACTGGGGGAAAGGCCATAAGGAAGCTATATCACTATTTATTAGAACAAGATATGTTAGAAGAGCAAGTAAAGGAGACCATGATAATTTGGAGCAAATATTTTGGCTATAGTATTGATTTGGATAATTGGCAGAACCTGTGTGAAAAAAACTTTAGCAACATCAGAAAATTTATATAAGATGTTTTAAAGGTAGACTCTCCCACCTACAAGACTAGCAAGAATAAGTAAAAAATACTCTCCAATATGTGGGAAATGTGAGGTGATCCCAGGTACCTTCTACCACATGTGGTGGGAATGCTCAAAGGCCAAACAATTTTGGCATCAGATAAGGTGTTGGCTAGAAGAGATTCTAATATTAAAAATAGAGGTTAAATTGGAATTCTTCCTATTAGGTATTATAGAGGGTAAATATAACAAGAACACAACCTACCTAATATTACATATATTAACAGCAGCAAGAATAGTCTTTGCCCAAAAATGGAAGAGTAAAGAAATCCCCGTGGAAGAAGAAGTGCTAATCAAAATTCTCAATTGTGCAGAAATTGACAGACTTACCTTGGAGGCAAGGATAAAATTGAATCAGCATACTACGAAATCTGAACTAAATTTTATGAATGGTTGGACAGGAGGAGGAATGCCAAGATGAAGGTGTGGTGAATGTCTAGAAATGGGCATGTCAATGTATGTTAAATCTGTATGTAAGATATGATTATATTGAGTATAGATGTAGCTGTTTAGGAGGAATTAATTTATATACTTGACATGCAAGAAGTAATGTAAATTTGTACAAAGATAAAGAAGTATGTTATGTATTAGCTTAAATTTGACGATAATGGTGCAGACCAGAGACGTTAAACATGTCCATTGTTTTTTTTTAACTTGAATTAGTAATAAATTATATAAAAAAATACAATCCATGTTGATTGTGTCAACACCATGAACAATTACTACAACAGCAAAACTAGTATCTCAGCCTACAAGAACCAACAAAGAAGCAAATTTATTTCTTTATCAATGTGAAGTTCAACTGCACAGCAATATCTTTAATGCATATGCATTAAAAAGCACAATTTCCATTTGACAAATTATCTGCAAAGCTCAACAAAGCAACGTAACTTCACCATTTGCAATCTGAAAGTTCAACAGTGTAATGCCTATAATGCAAGTCATTTCATACTTGTAATGCAATGCATACACTTTAACGCTTAAACTTGTAACTTTCACATAGTAAAATAAATACATTCACTTAAGCAGCAAGCAACAACCTTCTGTCTACAAACAGTTGTCAAACTGTTTACGGTATAATGCTTTTTAGTATTTAAAATGTAGTTTGGTTGTCATTGACTTCTCCCCTTCATTAGTTCAAGCCAACGTCCGTGAGTTTGGAATCCTGCCTGTTCTTCTTTTGCTTAATGAATCTCCAGGGAAGAATTAAAAAGAAAGGAATCATAGGAAGTTAGAATAATCAAAACAATATGAAATGAAATGTACCATTTAGTCGTAAGATCTGGACAAACACAAAATATTTTGTTTTAAGTTTGGCATTAAATTCCAGAACATTGAATATTTTCCTCGGAAGTCTTTGCATACCCCTAAACCAAATTTCCTTATTCTATCTAGAGAAAGAAAACTTTCTATTGTGGATGACAGTGATGATGCTTCTGCAGTAATTGCAAGAAGCTCAGTCCACATCAAGTAGGCCCAGAAAATTAATTAAATCTGCATACGACTCTCATTTCGTAGCTTCCCAGACCTGACTAATACCATTTACACAACAACGCTACACAGTAATGATCACATAATACCAAAGGAATGGAGAGGGTCCCAAGAGAATACTCTGCAGACTCCAGAGAGAAAACGAATTACGATAGTGCCTGGATCCATTACCTGTGCATATTGGCTCAGTTGTGTTCCCTCCTCAACAGCTCATCTGGCAAATCCCATCAGTGGTTTTTGTTGGACTAAACAATCCCTTGCACGCAGAAGGGTTAATTGCAACAGTACGGTGTTCACATAAGTTATACACTGTGATGGTTGAGGTTCTGGATGAGTCTTTTAACCTTTCCCTGTTTGTTCCCCCTGTTACTGATTCCCCCCCCCCCCTTCATGGTATGGTTAGAATAAGGTCTTTTGCCCTAGCTCTTGATGAATATTATTTGAACAGAAAGTAAATTATATCTTAGTTTTTCTGAAGTTGATGTAATTAAGAGAGTCATTTGGCTCATGTAGGTAGGGCAAAAGAAGAGAAAAATAAAGATAAGCAGAGCTGAGACTGAAACTAACCAGTCATTTCTATGCGTTAGCATGCTTTTTGGTGCACAGAATAAGTCATAACAGGAAAACTTTCACCACATAATAAGACCCATTGTTAATATCCAAGAGCAGAGCAAAAATGACTAAATACTGTGATGCA